ACGACGAGGAAGCCTTCTAGCTCTTAACATTAGAGATGTCCATGGAACAGGGACGACGAGGAAGCCTTCTAGCTCTTAACATTAGAGATGTCCATGGAACAGAGACGACGAGGAAGCCTTCTAACTCTTAACATTAGAGATGTCCACAGAATAGGGACAAAGAAACCTCTAGCTCTTATCATTAGAAATGTCCATGATACACGGAGATGAGAAAACCTTCTAGCTCTCATCATTATAGATGTCCCCGGAACAAAAAAGCTTTCTAACTCTTATCATTAGAGATGTCCGCCTCGCCTCCTATTTCAATATTTATCATTACAAAAATTCTAAAAAATAGTAGAAAACATTAGACAATGACAAAAAAACAAAAAAGAAAAAAAGAAACAGGAATTCAAGATCTGAGTCTTGTTTCTTGTATGACATCTTCAATTAATTACTCACTCTCCCATATTAATTTCTCTGTTATTTCATCTCTCTTAAAAAGCAAGAAAAAAAACCCTAATCCTTCTTCTTCTTCTTCTTCTTCTTCTTCTTGTAATCTAATCCTTTCCCCCAAAAAGTAACCTAAACAACAAAACAAAACTGACAAAATTATATATATTGAAAGCAATAACTGAGAGCAAAATCCGCATACAAAACCACCTGAAAAAACTATGGTAATTTCCATAACACAACAGTCCCTCCTTTCTCCTCCCCCACCTCCGCCGTCATAACACACACAATTAATACAAAAAACAACCGTCCTGGTGGCGGTGGAGGTGGTGGCGGGTGGTGGTATTGTTCTTTGTGTTCATATATATATATATATATATATATATATATTCAAGAATCCCCAACACACCCTTCTTGGGACCCTCACTTGGTGTCTTTATCCAAACCCTTTTTGTCCTGTTTTTTTCTTCCCTCTTCCCATTTCTCTCTTCTCCTCTTCTCTTCTAAACTAAAGCTCATTTTCTTGTTATTAAATTTTGTTTCTTGCTGTTCCATGTCTTCCTCCGCCCCTTCTTCCTCCTCTTCTGGTGGCGGCCGACGGCGGAGGGGCGGTGGGGATTTTGATGGTCCTTCTTCATCTCGCCGTCGTGCCACCAATGAGGTTTGGCCTGAGCCATTTGTTGAAGCACTTGCTACTCAAGTTGCCATTGATGCTTCTCGCTCTCTTGGAAGAATCCATGCTGCTGCTGCTCTTTCTAATGTCTTTCAGGTGACACCCTCCTCCTCCTCCTCCTCCTCCTCTCTCTCTTTCTCACGTTCCTATTTTGTTCATCATTAAAAACAACCACTTTTTAGTTTCTTGTATTGAACAATAATGATTCAATCATTTTGCAAGATCATGAGAAATCTCATGATGGGTTCTTAGTAATATGGTTGAATAACAAGTCACACGTCCTAAAGTTTCAATCTTTTTTTACGTGGGCTGTGACAATTTTTTGAATTTTGTCAATTTGAACTCAGCTTAACTGATTAATCATGTCTTTTTTACGCCGTTTTCTAACTAAATCCCCACTCAAGAAAGTTTTCTTCTTTTTGTTTCCGATGATGAACATGGGACAAATCTTCTAAATACTCACACCTTGTAAAGTTTCGATCCTTTTTATTTGGGTATTTGACAATTTTTTGAATTTTACCAATTTGAACTTAAGCTTTGTATCTTTTTTTTCCCATCTTCTAACTAAATCCCAACTCAAGTACGTTGTCTTTTTGGTTCGATGATGAACATCGGACAAGTCTTCTAAAGACTCCTGCATTGTAAAGTTTCCATCTTTTTTATTTGGGTATATGACAATTTTTTGAATTTGGCCCATTTGAACTTAGCTTTAACTCATTATTAGTATCTTTTCTCCCCCTATCTTTTTACTAAGTCCCAACTCAAGAAAGTTGTCGTCTTAGTTTGATGATGAACATCAAATAAGTCTTCTAAATACTCCTACATTATAAAGTTTCGATCTTTTTTATTTGGGTATATGACATTTTTTAAATTTTACCAATTTGAACATAGTTTAACGGTTTAGTATCTGATCATCGAAGAGAAAAGGGGGATATCTAGTTTTGAAAGGGATTGGTATGAAATGGATATATGTTGTTGAAAGTCATTTTCAAGAATAGGGTTTATTCTTTGTTGGATGCAAATATTGGTTTGGTGTCTTTATTATAGTGCTTTAGAATTGTCTATTTTTGGGGCCCTTCTGCATATCTAATGGAAAAGGGGTCTTTTGGCGTAGAATTTTCCTTATATAACCTTCATTGGCATGGATCTCTTTTTCTGCCCTATATATTATAAACTCCTCTCTTCTACTTTTTTGACTCAAAAACTTCACTCTTTTTTCCACCAAATCTATTCGAACCCACTTTCTGATGCCCACTTTATAACCCAAACACTGCCTACCCATGTGACTAAAACTCAGTAGGAGAGAGAGAAGCTATGGCATGGCTTTAACATTCATTTTTCTTCCTCTTACCTAACATCAGACCATGCCTGACCATGTTATAATATCACATTAATGTTCCTAAGCTATGTTTTGTCACTTGAAACACCAGCTTTATGTGCGGTTATTCTGACCTTCACGTTAATCTTGTCTTCTTTTTTTGGAGTCCTCGAACAAAATACATCATCCGTTTGACACTTGAGTCTCTTTGCTACCCCCATTGAGACTTACAGCTTTGTTGAGGATTCTGTTGACATGGTAAGGTTAAGGGTAAAGGCACGACTCTGTACCATGTTAGGAATCACGACTCTTCACAAAGGTATAATATTGTCCACTTTGAACATAAACTCCCATGGCAAGCCCCCGATCATTCCCCGAAAGTTCTCATATAAACCCATGATTATTCCTTGAATTAGATAGTGCTGGACTCCCTCCCAACAATGCTCGACACAACGAGACAATGAACCAGTCATCCGAGGAGGGAAATGAATATATAAATTGAGAGGGAATGGATTGGATAGAAGAGACAGGCGAGTCAAAGGTGGAGTGAGAGAAGAAAAACAAGAGAGAGAGAGAAAAGAAGAAAGATTCTGTGCTTTTAACGACACCTTTCTTGGAAATGAAAATGGAAATGCTTAAAGGGGAAGCACGCTTTTGAATCTCATCTCCCATGGTGGCTTTAAACGTGCCCTCTTTCTTTGATATCCTTACAAAAACAGCAAACCCATGAAAGGAGAGGATGATTTTGTAAGAGAGACATGTTATGAGGACCACAAAACAGAACAGAACAGAACAGAACAAAACAGAACAGGAGCTAAAAAGTTGTGTTTTTTTCATTTTTTTTTTCTATTATGGGTACGTTTTTTTAGGCTCTTCTTTTGTTCTTCCCCTATTACTCACTGACAATGACAAACAGACAAAGAACAAATAAAAAGATCGGTTCTTTTTGTTGTGTTTGGCTGTTTTGGAGGCGCATGGAAAAATGTCACTCCCTGTCTCTGTTTTGATCCCTCCATTGTTGTTTGACATTTCTTGTCTATGATTGACTGCTTGCGTGGCTCTTTGACTTCCCACTAACTCTTACTTTTTGCTTTGTCAAGGTCTGTTCCACCTGGCGTGCTGTGTCTCGGTCTGAGCTGCTGTGGCATCGTTTGACCACTCAGATATGGGGTCGGACCGACCGTCTGCTCGACACTTGGCGAGATGAGTACGTGTATTGGCATACTACAGCTTGCAATTTCCGTACTCATAGATCTCTCCATACTGTTCTTCAATTTGATCAGTCTGATGTGGATGAACCTGATAGTCTGATGTGTCGTTGCCTCGCTATCTCCTTGCGCCACTTGGCTTGTGGATTTGCTGATGGTACTGTTCGTTTATTTGACCTTGCCACGCGTGTCCATGTCACTACGTTTCGTCCCCACCACCGTGACCATCTTGGGCAATTCTCATGCGCCGTCTCTGGCATTGTGATTGCTGATGCTCGTATCGTCTTTGCGAGCATTGATGGCGACATTCACATTGGTGTTATTGACAGTACCCCTGCTGCTATTTCGCCCACGCGCCGGGTACATGAAGGCAATGTGATGAATGATGGTGTGTTGGTAGACTTTGCTGGGTGTGACCGGTGGTGGGTTGGGCTGTATGCTGGTGTACCTGGCCGTGCATTCCACATATGGGATGGGAACAGTGAAGAACTCGTGTTCGTAGGTGGGTCGCTGACCGACCCAGAATCTGTAACGGGGTGGCACATGTTAGCGGAGCCAATGGAGCAAGTCGGCCGGGTACGGGTGTCGAGTCGGGAATCGGCGGTGGCCTGCACTAGCCTACAGCTCATGGTTTTGGACTTGAGAAATCAAGAAGTGGTATTAAACGAGGAGGAGAATGGGGTGGTATGGATAGTAACATCGATGGACGTAAGCAATGAGACATACATAGTGGTGGACGGACATGGTGTGGCTGTGGTACGACGAGTGGACACAATGGAAGAAGTTTGTACGTTCACAGTAACAGGGGCGGCTCAGAGAGGGGCTGTGGGCTGCATGAACATGGGCTATGCTGTGATGAGCTCCGGTGGGGCGATAAGGGTTTGGGAAATAGAGCATGGCCAGTATCTGTACAGGTTCAGAGAGAGGATTGGGGCTGCCAATGCTGTCGTTGCCAATGACCGATACGTGGCGGCCTCTGGGTTCGACACGACGTTACATTTGTGGGATTTTGGTGCATAATCAAACAATGTAGTAGTAGATTGGTTCCTGGGGGATGTGTACAGTTCGGCAGTGATGGGGTTTCATTGAATGATTGGAGTGCAGAAGGACGGGTCTTAGTGTTCATGGGAGATCTAAATCATGGTCCTTTCTTTCCATTTTCTTTGTCGGGGGAGAAGAAGGAAATTTTATTCCGATTCATTGTTTTGAACAACGTATTTTCATTTCAATTCATGGGGCAATTATTGTTAATCGAGTTTATGAAGGATTATTGGAATCTTAGCCTTAATGAATTCATTATTATCATCGATCATCATCCTCAACTTCGTTGTTATTTGTATAAAATAAGAAACGACGACACACGACCCGATAGAAAAAGATCATCAGTCTCATTCCATGGACTAGGATCGGAATGAAAGCTAATCGGCTAAGTTGTGTTCTACAGCAATCAACTCAACTAACAAGAATTTAGCTCGGTTTAAGAACTCTAACATGGCTCAAACAGCATAGAAGAAAACCACGCTGCCATAGAAACAGCATATGCGAGTTACTGCAGCTGAATCACAAGGCAGTTTGATCTGATAAACAGAGGATAATATGGTTAACTATCCATTGTGCAATGAATTGAATACTTTGAGTTTGTCAAAACCTTCTGGCAAGAGATGTTGAGCTTCCAACTCACTGCATAACATTATAGCTGTTTTACCATTCCCACATCGGCCAAGTCCAACACAAAGCTCACATAAGTTATCCAAATCAGGAGCCCTGTGTCTCTTCACCATGTCCTTCAACAATTGAACTGCTCCATCATAATCCTCATTATCAAGGAAAGTGGACAATAGCATCCTAAAGGTCTGGTCACAAGGGCTAAAACCACTTTTCATCATACTGTTATATATTTGAAATGCACGCTCCGAATTCTTCCGCACACACTGCCCACAAATTAGAGCAGAAAACGTCGAAGCATTTGGAACTAGTTTCTTCCCGTCAAGCTCTCGAACCAGAAATGCTGCATTCTTTGTCTTTCCCTCTTTGCATAGTCCCAAGATCAGGGCATTGTAAGTAAGGATATCGGGTTTAACTCGAAACCTCGACATCTCCTCAAAAAGTCTATTGCCCATGTCGGTATTGCCCATTTTGCTGTAGCCATTTATCAAAGTGTTGTAGGTTACAGTAGTGGGAGATAAACCCATTGCTTTCATCTCTCCAAATAATCTACTTGCTTCTTGAAGCTTCCCGTCCTTACAGAACCCATTGATAAGAGTATTAAAAGTAACAACATCTGGAGGAACTCCATTTCTTTCCATTGTACTTCTGAGTTTCATGGCTGAGCTTATAAGACCTTTGTTACAGTAGCCTGCAATAAGTGTATTGTAAGATGCAACATTTGGAGAAAACCCCATTGTTTTCATTTCCTCAAACACCTCAGTAGCCTTATCTAATCTTCCCAATTTACAGGAAGCACAAATAACCAAGTTGAGCGTATACGAATTAGGCGAAATCCGACAACGTCGCATTTCTCTATAAAACGTCGAAGCAATATCTCCCCTGTTGAAATTAATCAAGGAACTCAGAAATGCATTACATGACTCCACAGTGGGTAAAAATCCATAATCCTTCATCTTACAAAATGTATCAGAGGCATTTCTGTACTTCTTCAAATGAGCAAAAGTCTTGAAAAGCAGATCGAAAACATGCGGGGAAGAATCACAGACTCGGTAAGAGTACAATAAGGATTCAAACAACTTAGAAGGAAACTCAATAGAACAGGAATCTATGATACTCCTTAAAATTGATTCTGCAGATTTAAACTTCCTATGTTTAGCAAGTATATGGAGGATTATGCAATGGGTCTCAAGGGTATGAGAAGAAGGATTTTGAGTGGTAACCCAATTGAAGAACTCGAGCGATAGTACATAGTCCTTCCGGGTTTTGAGTAGAATGTGTTTGACTCTGAATGCTGTCAGACCCGATGACAAACAATCAAGCTTAGTCCAATCCGAATGAATCAGGTGGCTATGTACGACGTTAACAAAATCAAGGTCTTGTCCTCTGGGTTCGGGAATTGATCGGTGAGGTATTGGAATTGGATTCCATTTCCTATTTCGTAAAGTCACATCCAAATTAGGGTTTACAGAAGCAGAAGTTCTGGCTACAGAGCTCAGTAGAGTGGAAAATCTACGAAATCGCAAAACCCTCATGATTTTCCCACAAATCAGAGTTTTGTGATTGAAGCAGTGACGATTAAGATTGAAATAAATTCAAGAAAAACTTCATATTCAATTCATGTAAAGCCCAGTTCAGATACAAATCGAAGGAAAACGAAAAGCAGGGATTCGAGGATCAACTAACCGATTCGAACAGGAAAGATGAAAAAATGGAAATCCTCCAACCTCCGACACATTGTAGAAGGATTGGAGCAAAGTAGTTCACCCTTCTCAGTGAGTAGCAAAATATCTTTTAGCTAGCGCCTTCCACTTTGAAGCTCTCTCCGCCAAGTTGTGATCTTCGTTCTTCTACATTCATCGGGGCAATTTGATTTCAGTTTCCGTAACAAATTTTAGTAATAGCAATTTTAACCTAATTTACATAAAATATTGCAAGCATATTGCACTTACGTGTATTATTTGCCATGGTATGATATTGTCCACTTTGAACATATATCTATATTACTCTCAATAGTATTAGAATCACGACTCACCACAATAGTATGATATTGTCTTGAGCATAAGCTCTCATGGCTTTGTTTTGGGTTTCCCCAAGCTACGCATGGAGATAGTATTCCTCACTTATAAACCTCAACAAATAATTCATTATAGATCCGTGGGACATTTGAGATCCCACGTCGGTTTAAGAGGAGAACGAAACATTCCTTTGTACAATATCATGTTTTAAAATCAAGAAGGTATGAAGGATGATGAACGTGAACGTGAACGTGAACAAGAACAAGAAGGACACTGCGTTGATACCATCCGCTTAGAGGAGTTGAACAGGAAGTGCGAGGAGTTCATACGAAGAATGGAAGAGGATATCAGAGTTCAAATTCTAACACTACAATGCTCTTAGCATCAACAAAATCCACTTCTTTTCACCATATAATGGCCGCCAAATTCCCTCTTTCTTCTTCCCTTAGCATCAAATTTCCACCCGAACAAAACCCATCTTCCATCTTCGCTCCTCTTCCTTATATCATCATCTTCGGCATGTCGACTTCGTTCGTGATCTTAGCCACCAAACCCATTGTCTATGCCTATTTTGATTTGTAATTCTATTCCAGAAACTAATACAAACACTATAGTAACTCGGTTCAATCTCGCTGTTCGCGTGTCGGGGTCTTATGAGAAGCAAATAACTCAAAACTCAATTAATTTACAGGATGCAATGAACAGCTCAGAAAGAACAAAAAAAAAAAACAAACATGGAAACTGATAGAACTCCATAGTAAAAGAAGGAAAGAAACACCTGAGAATAGTTCAATGGGTTCAACATTTCATTTCCAATGGCTTGAAACATACTGCACAAGTAAAAGGGAAAAAGAATACAGAGTTTACATACGGCATAGCTCTCTTCAATCTATTAGTATCACAATCTTCACATAAATAATCATTGTTCAATGCTCAATTAATACCAGCTACGAGGTTGAAATACAAAAGGGTATGCCACAAATTTAGAAGGGGGGGAAGAACAGTTTACCAATGCCTATCAATTTCTTTTCAGCAAGGGCTTGAAAAGTAACATTGTGACGTATTTTTCGCAAAATCTGAATGTTGAACCGAGTGCCATGAATTCACCTCCGACGTTATTTTGGTATAAATGGTTCAATTCAGTGTGTCGAGGCTGCACATCAGACTGATGACCACTCGTGCAGCAAGATGGTTCGTTTAAGATAGTCTCTCGTAGTGGTGGCGGTAGATCTGGTGGAGGTCTACTGAAATCGTCGTCGTTGAAGCATTGGTTATCATAACTAGACGGTGGGGATGGAGGAAATTCGAACTCGGATAGACTTTCAGGCAATTCCGAGACGGGTGTCTGTAAAACAGTTCAATAGAACTTCAAATTAGTCCTGGGCAGGCAAAGCTCTTTTACAAAGATTTATTCAACCAAAATTAAGAGCCAGAAGTAATGAAAGAAGGATCAGGGCTTGTTCATTCACAAGAACTTGGTGCACAGCAATGGGCAGGAGAACAAGGAACCTAGATTTGTTTCTCTCTTTCACGATTTCGTACTCGAGCATCCGAGATCAAAACCGATATTGCAAAGTTAACTGTTCCATCCCATCTCCTTCCTGGGAACTTTTTTTGAAGTATAGTAACCCCCCAGAATCTACATTTGTCATTTTGTTTTGATAGATACGGTAACAGCCCAAGCCTACCGCTAGCAGATATTGTTCTTTTTGGGCTTTCCCTTTCAGGATTCCCCTCAAGGTTTTTAAAACGCTGTCTCCTAGGGAAAGGTTTCCACACCCTTATAAAGAATGTTTCGTTCTCCTCCTCAACCGACATGGGATCTCACAACCACCCCCATCGAAACCCAGCGTCCTCGCTAGCACTCGTTCCCTTCTCCAATTGATATGGGACTCCCCAACCCACGCACCAAAGCTGGCACATCGCCTCGTGTCCACCCCCCTTTGGGGCTCAACCTACTCGCTAACACATCATCCGGTGTCTAGCTTTGATACTATTTGTAACGGCCTAAGCCCGGACAATATCTACTAGCGGTGGGCTTGGACCATTATAGATACTCTAATCTTCCAAGCTTTACAAACCTATTAGATCGCTCTTTGAATTGGGAAAAATCTAACACTCAATCAATAGTTCGACATTTTAGAGAAAAGCTCAGGCCAAATCAAATATCTTTTCAAGGACATGATCATGGAATCATGCAAAGACAACTTATCCCAAATCAAATATACGGGGCATTAATTATCTTAACCGAGAATATAAAAGTCGAAGACGAGAATTACCATCAAGTCAAGAACATTGTAAGAATGTCCAGAATCATCACAAACCCAAGGCAAATCAGGAGCACATGTAAGCCATCCATCAACCATGAAACGATAATGGTAGATCCCTGAGGGGAGTGTCTTGATAATAACAAATTCTTTTCCTAAGCTCTGTAACATCTCCCTAACATAAGGAGATAAAATGTTCTGTATTAGACAAAAAAAAAAACATGTCCAGAATCAAACATCTTAGCTGCAAAGTAGTACCTTGTCTCCCAGTTATCCCATGACCCAATAATAGCCACTTGCTTCCCTCCATGGTTCCATGAGATCTTCACAGATGTCCTTGGTATGTTGGACACGCCCTCATTATTCATTGTATAATAACCTTTAACGTTCAAACGCCTGCAACTCAACCTCAAAAAAGTATTCCAAATCATTAAGTACTCAGAAACTAAAAGGAAGAATTGTGCTTCATCCTTGAATTCTGCCACAGACACTTACACACAAGCTAATACTGTTCAAACATCACAATTCATATGAAGTGGCAGAGAAAATCAGTGAAGAATAAAACCCAGATTCTTATAGGCATGCATACATATATTGGGTCTGTTTGAAGGGGAGAAACGATACCCAGATACCAGATTCTTAAGAAATTACCTGTGGGGGGTGGGGAGATGAAAGGCGTAGGATGAATTTGAACAAAACGCACAGAAAACTCAAGTATGGGCTCGGAAAACCTATGAGCAGGATACCAAAAAAATAGCTTCTCTACACTTCGTCGTGTTCTCATAATTCAATTCAGCAAAAGGGTCGTCTCCATCTGAGAAACAAAGCAAAACCCAGTTGAGATTTCAATCGGAAGAACCAAAATTAGTGTATACGGAGGGGAAATCACTTAGAGACAAAGCACAGGTCATCACAGTAAAGGCAAGATTTGAAGAAGAAAAGTGAAAAAAAAGGCACAGAGGCAAGTTGGAGAAACATGGAGTTAGGTTAGATAGATACCCAATTATGAGGATGAATTGCAGAAAAAGAAGCACCCAAATCGAGAATTGAGTGAAGAAATGAACGCACCATGGTCTTGAGCTCTACATATTACACGATTTTAAGTGATAAAAAACACTCAAATCGGCACTGCAATCTCTCCACCACCACCACCACCACCACACTCTTTCTTTCTCCTACTCCTCCTCCTCAAGAACACTCCCAATTTTCCCTTTTTCTTTTTGGGGTTTTTCTTTTTTTTCTTTCTTTTCTTTTTTTTTTTTTCTTTTCTTTTTTACTCTACAAATTAGACCTAAGAACTTGAGAAAGGGCGCGTTTTTAACCTCCAATGAGTTTGGAAGATACCAAGAGATGGACTTTATTTATAATGATGCTCATTTTATAAATTAATAAACCTTTATTATTATTATTATTATTATTATTATTTGCTAATTAAATGCTTCTTAGTTTTCTCATATACAGTTGTTGTTGGGAACCAATCAAATCTCAACACGTCACCCTTTACTGTTTTTACTCTTTTACCCTTGTTGACAATTGCAACAACTTTTGTCTTTTAGTTCCGGTACCCTTAACTTCGAATTCTTCGTTNAAAATTCAAATAAAGCCAACAAAAAAAAAAAAAAAAAAAAAAAAAAAAAAAAAAAAAAAAAAAAAAAAAAAAAAAAAAAAAACTCATCAGTTTTATTTATTTATTTAATAAATTTCCTCTTTCTTGGATTATTATAATTTTGGTGCTAAAATTACAAAGAGAATCCAGGGTCATTATTGCATAATCTTTTAAATTATTTACCTCATTACCGTAATTAATTTTTAATCTTGCATGTTAAGGCTTTTGAGTGTTGATGTGATTTATTATAAAAAAAATGTAAATTAAAACTATAGAGATTCATGTATATTAATGTGATTCTTAGTGTCATATGGTCGAGAGCAAATTTATATTATATAGTTTCGGGATTTAATTTTGGTAATGTTTTAGGAACCAATGTATCGACTATATCTGAGCTCTATTTAGAGACATTTTGAGGAAATTAAAGGTAAAATCATGCGAGCTCATCATATCATTATGGATATCATAATCATATCAAACAAAAAGTGTACTTTGTTCGAGGGTTCTGATTATCCGTCGTTGGGTTATCAGATCTCAGATATGTATGAACTTGAACACATTTCGTCTACGGGCTATGTGTCGGGTATAATCATATCGATGCACGAGCATAAATAATTAAATCAAAGAAATTAAACGTAGGGGGAAAAGAATCAAAATGAATCTTAGGGTAATGAGCAAAATGATTTAAAAGTTGTTTATATAATTGCGACAATTGTAGGCTAAGTTGGTCGGTAGGGAAACATTAGTGTAAATGGTCTGTGCCGTCAAATTTTAATGATAATTTTTTAATTTTAGTAAATAAAAAAATGATTTTTGAAGTAAGGGAAAATACATTCATATAATTATTTTAAAAATTTTATTGCATGCCAACTATTTAATCGCTCCAAGAAACTCAAATTAAATAAAAACATTTTAAATTGTCCTTGATATTGACGTAATAATAATTTAATTCATATTACATAATATATACTTTTTTATTTTTATTATTTTTTCTTTTGGAGATTGTCAACCACGCTTAATGTAAATTAATATTCTCTGACCGTAGGTTTGAAATTACTTGGGTGAAAAAAAAAATTAAATAAAATAATATTTTATAATAATAATAATAATAATAAATAGATGGATGGTAGGCGTAGTTGAAAAATATGTCCAAACCCCACAAAACATTATCTTATAAAGTTTTTAATGTGTATAGAATATAGACTAAGCTACAAATTAATGTTGTGACTTTAAATAAGTTTTGGACATTGATGAAACATAGTCATATAATTAGTGGGTGATGTAAGCTCTTACTTTAGACAAGTGAGCACTAAGCTATATATATATATATAAAAAAAAAAACATTATAAAGTATGGTTAGCTTTTGAATTTAATATCAAAGTTCGTATATTTTAATTTTTGCTGATTCAGCCATAACACGTCATCGATACTTTAAAAAATATGACGTATTATTTGTTGAAGATTGTTGGAAGAACAGTTCCACGTCGGCTATAGGAATGAGACTTTTTGGAGAAATCGAAAGTACAGTCATGAGAGCCTATGCTCAAAGTAGATAATATCATACCTTAGGGTATCAGAGCATGCCCTTAATTTAGTCATGTCATTGGACAAATTGTTCAAGGGCTCTAGAGAAAGAGTCGAGGCTCGATTAAGAGGAGGCTGTTTGAGGGGTTCATAGGTCTTAGAGGAGACTCTATGATAGCCATATTGATGGATTTTGAAATGGGTACGATGTTCGGGTTTTGATTTTCATCTTAGGTCACGGGGTTAGTGTTGTAATGGATAAATTAGTGAGCAAAGATGAAGAAAACAAGTTGTGGAATAAAGAAAGGAAAGGATGGGAAGTAAACGAGTTATCCAAGAAAAATAATAAAGAAAAAAACTTTATGGTAAAAAATATAATATAGAAAAACTTTATATTAAAAAAATATAATGTAGAAAAACTTTATATTAAGAAGAAAATTTCACAAACCAAGATATGGTCCCCTCCCACTTTGATGAATCGAAATTGGCATCTAAAACATTCCTAAATCACAACCCCCAACGCAGCTTGCTGGTTTTCTTAATCACATTTCCTTCTTTCAAGCCCTAATTTCTCAACTTCCAAACCCTAATTAGGGTTTTCATGTGCCATTGGCACTGCTTTATTTGTCCAATTGGCCGACAAGTGGCCTCAACTCCTCTTCTCTCTTTCTTTCTTTTTCTTTTTTTCTTTTTGAGAAAGATACACCATTATTCAATAACAATAAATCGACCTCTCTGAAATTAGCTCGACGTGGTTATGTTAATGTATGATTTTGTTGAGAGTATAATCAAAATCGTTGTCTATGTTCGTGCAGATGTCATAATCTGACGTCTTTTAATAATCACTGGATGTGGATTCACACGAGAAATTGAAAAAAAAAGTCAGGAGAGATTTCTCACCGTTAACTAAATTAGACCGAAGACAGAGAAAGCTAGAAGAGATTTTTTTTTTAAAAAAAAACGTGTTATGAATCTCCGCCCTCGTCCCGTGAATATATATATATAGATATAGATATAGATATATATTCCAATTCCCTTCTTGTACCCTTTCACTCGATGAAAAGGCTCTTCCCCTAATTAAGATCACATATAACATACAAAAACAAAACAACTTGCCTCTGTTTTTTTCCTCCTTCTCCAAAACTCGCTTTCGTAGAGGAATTCATTTGTCCCGATCATCGTTATCGAGTTGACAAGAAATTTATATAACTCGACAAAAATGTTAATGAGGTCTTCACAACGTGGCTGTCTCGTAATAAAGATTAAAAAATTTAGGTATCGAGCTTTTATTTTTTATTTTTATTTTTTCCATTCAAATTGAAGTTGGGTAATGAGCATGATTAGAAGGGCATGAATTTGAGGCGACCTTAAGCCAAAGTGCCCCACCGGGGGGCAGCCGGGCGGCCATGGGAGACCCTAAAAAAAGCTTTGGTTTGTGTTTGGTAGCGACATACTTATGGCATGGAAGACAAAAGACTACTCAAAATCATCATTACAACTCCATATTTTTACATATAGAACCGTATAAAGTTGAATCTTGAATTTAACTCGAGCTGGTCCCTAAAGTTACAAACTTTCAACAAAACGTCACTACCCATCTTCTACAAAAGAATCACGAACCTCAATAATGGTATGATATCGTTCACTTTAAATATAAGCTCTTATGACCCTTCTTTTGCCTACTTATAAACCCACGATCGTCCTCTTAATTAACCAATGTGGGACTCTCTCCCCTGAAGACTATGTAGCCCTCAAACAGTGTCCTCCCCTTAAATGAGGCTCGACTCCTCTTTCTGGAATCCTCGAACAAAGTACACCATGTGTTCATTCTCTTAATTAACCAATTTGGGACTCCCTCCTAACAATCCTGAACAGGTATAACGTAACAAACTCATCACCAAACGATTTCGTTCACTAATGAAACGTATAATGGATTGGTATGTGCGAAGTTGGGTTCTACGAGTAGGACTAGTACAGAAAAGCCATGTGAAATATTGAAACTTTTTAAGAAATATTTAGATCTATACATTTCAATACATTCAACCCACCATTTCTCGATTGTTTCCTGTCTACACACGCTTTTTGAACTCAAACTTCGTAACCCAACTCAACCCCACGAACGCCAACTAGTAGTTTCTTGTTGTTTGGTAAAAGATTCAAACTTTTTTAGTATAAAATAAAAAATAAAAAATGACGGATTCAGAGAAAAAAAAAAAAAAAAAAAAGATTATAATAATGGTTCATCTCTGTTTTGTTATTTGGGTTATTTTGTAATGCATTGAAACAAGAGTTTGGGAGGGAAACCGCCATGTGGTAAGCTCAGAGATCTGCACATGGCTTTCCTCTAATTTCTATACAAAAACCCTAATTTCTTCCCCCATTAACAATGGGGTTTTTCTTCCTTTTCGTACCCATTTCTCCATTTCATCATTTCTTCATAAAGCTTCAATCTTTTTCGATTGAAACCCAAAAAGCTTCAATTTTTTTGGATCTATGAAGCTCAAGATCACATTTGAAGATCAAATGGCTACTCCTATGAAAAACCCATTATCATTGTTCATTGTTCTTACTTTTTTTCTCCTCTCTTTGGGTTTTTTGGGATTTATAAGATTCTTCTCATCTTTTGTACTTACTTTCACAGCTTTAATTATGTCCATGCTTTATTTTTCAATCTCCAAAACAAACCCATTTCCGCTTCACAAATCTTTACACCAACAACAACAACAAGAACAGAAAGAACTAACCTTTCTCTCCTCCGATCACCGGAATTTCTCGTCGGCGTCAGCTCCTACTGTGGATTTGCTGTCGGAAAGTGAATGTGCCGATGATAATTTCACGACCACCGAGGAATCTGAAGTGGAGTGGCCGTTTTTTGACCGGTCAACGGCGAATAACCTTTACCGGTCTGATGATGGTTCCATTTCTGACGAGGAAAGTTTGATTGAAATCGCTCTCCCGACCGGACATTACGTCAGCCATAAGTCCGATGACGACGACGACGACGACGAAGACGACATGTCGTTTTGTTTCCAGAAACTGTCGGAGTTTCAAAAGCTTAAGAGGAAGAAGAATC